TAGGTAAGCGAGTTGGTGAGTAAATTAATGATTGGGTAGGTGAGGTAGTAGGCGAATAATTGGGTAGGTGAGTAAGTAGGTGAATTATTGAATATGCGAATAGGCAAGTGTGCAGTTGAGTTAGTAGGGAAATGATTGGGTAGGTGAATTGGTAAGGGAGTATGAATGATTAGGTAGGCGAGTAGGTAGGTGAGTAGGTGAGTGACTAGGTGAGGTAGGAGGTGAGTAGTAGGGTGCCACTCAATACACATCGAGTCAGAGTATTAGGGACAGACTTGGAGGCGGAGAGGATCGGAGAGCCCTGTGAGTAGGGCGAGTATTCTCAGCTGTTGACTTCTATGCCACAAGTCACACATTGAGAGGATTGTGATCCCAGAAAGCGGATAGCGGCACCCGAATATATTTCCTATAGACACACACGGGTAAAAACAACGAGCACGCAACTAGATAGGGTAGCGAGTGCTATGCATATAGGACGTGTGTATTTGTATAATGTTTTACACAGAGTAACCGTATACACATTAGAAACGTGTAAACCGTGCGGCACTTTTATTAAACCACTGTCGAGGGCTTCTTCATGCCATTGTGGGTCAATGGGGTTATTTTAACACACTTCACCACACTGGTGAGCGTGGACTGAAGGCGAGTATTGTATACATATACAACATACACAAACACAGAGTTACAGACGCACACAACAAGACACGAGAACACACAAACACAGTACGAAGGTACACAACCGTGTGTTTGTGCGTCGTATGTACCACAATACAGAGTACATTTCACAATCCATTGCCTGCGATAAATGACCTCTCAAAATGAAAACATTCAATCGTGGAATTGGTCAAACATTCCATCCATATAGGGAACTCTCGCGACTCCCGCATTACTCCTGTTAATCGAGTCAACGTGGCAAGTATTGGGAAAGCTTTGTCCCACCGACACAAAGAAGATTGATGCGACGGATATGTACAAACATTTAAAATTAAGCGAACACGTAAAGTATATTGGTGACTCGCCAAAAAATAAATACAGCCGGTGCGCGGCTGCCGAACGGAAATGCTACAGAGAACATCGGCGCATAAACAAGACGTGCACACACTTCCGTGGACAATTACCGTGTGCATGTGCGGGTTAAACGGTACCGTGAATGGGTACGAATCCGGGGAAAACGGAGTTCGATTCACGCTCACGGCCAACATCAAGTGACGGATATCGTGAACCGGTCCATGGGCCCGGACCCCCTTTTAAACGAGTCCCCTGGTGCTCTGTGTCTAGACACCAGCATTCGGGAGACAAAGGCGGACGGGGCCTTTTGTGGATTTTGGCCACAACATCCAAACGTGTAGCGCCGTCCCGGCCTTAATAGGTGCTCGCTAACAGGAGCCGCCTCAACGGTCTACGATATATGCATACACGGAGGCTTTGTGTGTGTGTAAATAATATCAAGTACGACTGCACATCTGCTTAAAAGGGAACACAACCTACAGCATTTACAAACCGCGCAACGCCACGTGAGTCGCGGCACTCACTGTACGTACAGTAACACACTGTACACGAGCACGTTCAGCGCAACAATGCGGTGCGCCGTCTGCGTTCAAGTTTACTTTGGTAACAAAAATCGATATATGCAGTACACGAAAATGCGTATACTACTCTACGAGCAATATTAACGGCCCCGGCGTTTATCCAGAGGGGCCCTTTATTTGAGTCGCTTTGCAATGGGTTCTGCTTTACACTGGGGGATGTTGGCCAATTGTGTTAACGTGACCGAAGTGTTTCGTTTTTTGTGTGAAGGCGAAGGGGGGGGGACAAAAAAGAGATCCCGAATAAAACCCACCACGCGTGTGACGGGGGGGTAACACTCAAAGCTTCGCACAGATGGATTCAAGAATCCATTGCTGAACTACCATCGCCTGGCCGCTTCGCAGCCCCCTATATATGTAGACAAAAGGAACAAAGAAGCCTTGTTTAGCAGTGCACAGTTACGTTGCAAGTGGGTGCAGGAGTGGCTGTCCGTTCTACAGCACGACACATGCAGTATACACGAACATATGTACCCTGCGTGTCACTGGATACGAGGTGCATCGTGCGCGTTTACACATTGTTACACGTGCTTTTACAGTGCGCACACGTGCCATCTCCGTGTACATGTGTGTAGACACACAGCGCAGAGTCTGCACAAATTATACAGCATGTTGTCTTATTGTTGTATATACAGTACACACAGTTGGCAGACTAAAAAGCGGCAGTACATACAACACAAGTAGCAGTACACACAACACAAGTGGCAGTACACAACACCAGTGGCAGTACACACAACACCAGCGACAGTACACACAACACAAGTAGCAGTACACACAACACCAGCGGCAGTACACACAACACCAGCGGCAGTACACACAACACCAGCGGCAGTACACACAACACCAGCGGCAGTACACACAACACCAGTGGCAGTACGCACAACACCAGTGGCAGTACGCACAACACCAGCGGCAGTACACACAACACCAGCGGCAGTACACACAACACCAGCGGCAGTACACACAACACCAGTGGCAGTACACACAACACAAGTAGCAGTACACACAACACCAGTGGCAGTACACACAACACCAGTGGCAGTACACACAACACAAGTAGCAGTACACACAACACCAGTGGCAGTACACACAACACCAGTGGCAGTACACACAACACAAGTAGCAGTACACACAACACAAGTAGCAGTACACACAACACCAGCGGCAGTACACACAACACCAGCGGCAGTACACACAACACCAGCGGCAGTACACACAACACCAGCGGTAGTACACACAACACCAGCGGTAGTACACACAACACCAGCGGCAGTACACACAACACCAGTGGCAGTACGCACAACACCAGTGGCAGTACGCACAACACCAGCGGCAGTACACACAACACCAGCGGCAGTACACACAACACCAGCGGCAGTACACACAACACCAGTGGCAGTACACACAACACAAGTAGCAGTACACACAACACCAGTGGCAGTACACACAACACCAGTGGCAGTACACACAACACAAGTAGCAGTACACACAACACAAGTAGCAGTACACACAACACCAGCGGCAGTACACACAACACCAGCGGCAGTACACACAACACCAGCGGCAGTACACACAACACCAGCGGTAGTACACACAACACCAGCGGTAGTACACACAACACCAGCGGTAGTACACACAACACCAGCGGCAGTACACACAACACCAGTGGCAGTACACACAACACCAGTGGCAGTACACACAACACCAGCGGCAGTACACACAACACCAGTGGCAGTACACACAACACCAGTGGCAGTACACACAACACCAGTACACACAACACCAGCGGCAGTACACACAATACCAGTGGCAGTACACACAACACAAGTGGCAGTACACACAACACAAGCGGCAGTACACACAACACCAGTACACACAACACCAGCGGCAGTACACACAACACCAGCGGCAGTACACACAACACCAGTGGCAGTACACACAACACCAGTGGCAGTACACACAACACAAGTAGCAGTACACACAACACAAGTAGCAGTACACACAACACAAGTAGCAGTACACACAACACAAGTAGCAGTACACACAACACCAGCGGCAGTACACACAACACCAGTGGCAGTACACACAACACCAGTGGCAGTACACACAACACCAGTGGCAGTACACACAACACCAGCGGCAGTACACACAACACCAGCGGCAGTACACACAACACCAGCGGCAGTACACACAACACCAGTGGCAGTACACACAACACCAGTGGCAGTACACACAACACCAGTGGCAGTACACACAACACCAGTGGCAGTACACACAACACAAGTAGCAGTACACACAACACCAGCGGCAGTACACACAACACCAGCGGCAGTACACACAACACCAGTGGCAGTACACACAACACCAGTGGCAGTACACACAACACCAGTACACACAACACCAGCGGCAGTACACACAACACAAGCGGCAGTACACACAACACCAGTGGCAGTACACACAACACCAGTGGCAGTACACACAACACCAGTGGCAGTACACACAACACCAGCAGCAGTACACAGAGTGGCGCAAGATTATCGTCCTAACACGGTACACAGACGACACACGTATACACACAAAGGCATGGGTGTAAGTACACGCCACAGTTACTCGCGTTAAACACACAGGTACACACACACACTGGAATGTGAGAGTACGCATAGTACTGTAACACACACCGGGGAAAGCACTAGGAACCACACAGAGTGAGTGACTAAGTCATCGTAAAGTACTTGTGGGGGATTGACACACACACAACAAAACGTACACACATCACACAGACTGAGTGACTTGGCAAGGGAGTGATCGAGTGAGTTCGTGACTTTATCAATAATGATTTAAGTCCGCCCAAGTCTAAAGCCGCACAAAACTACAACAACAAAGCGAGTGAGCATATCACCGAGCGGTTATTTCGTGGGTCGATGATCAATGAGCGAGCCGAGTTCACGTACTCGGGAGGGTCACACGAAAGGCAAAGAGTATACACAGCCACACGGTACACACACAGGCACAAAGCACAACCACAAAGTACAGAACACTGGGCGAGTGGGCTGATCAATTGCGAGTAGTGAATGGTTGAGTAGGCGATGTGATGGGACTGTATCGAGTCGAGTCCACCGTACCCGCTCGCACAAAGCACACACATCCAAGTACACATATCTAAGTACACAACATATACCGTGTCGGTGGCTCAAGTGATCGAGAGGTCATAGTGCGAGCGGTTTCGTTGATCGAGCGAGCGAATCGGTGGTTAAGTGAAGCGAGTTGCTTTATTATCGATCGTTTGAGTGCGATTAGTAGCTAAACGAGTTGAGTCTACGAAGCGAGTGGTTTCAGTGGTGGATGAAGCGAGGCTGAGCGATCGTGGGGGGTGGTGGTGGTGTCAGCGAGCCGTGTGTGTGTGAGTTGACGTACTAGGGGTCGTTGGTGAACCGCGGGTTCCTGGGCGGCTGGAATCCGTGGAGGTGCGCGCTCAAAACGTCGAAACAGAAGCAGCACATCTCAGGAGACGCCACCGCCGCCGCTCCGCGTTGCCCACCCGCCGCTCCGTTCACCATCATCGTTCTCGAGCCGGTCCCAGCCATCGCCTCCCGGCCTCCTCGTCCACCACCACCACCTCCTCCTCCCCCCAAACCAACACTTAAGCCGCCTCCTCCTCCACTTCCACCTCCTCTGTCTAGCCCGTCCACGTGGCCATTGTGTGAGCCGGCTCCGCCTGACGACGCTGCCGCCGCCGCCGCTGCAGCAGCCGCCGCCGAGGATGACGAGGTCGATGATGATGATGTGGTAGAGGAGGCGGTAGCGGATGTGGACGAGGTGGACGAGGAGGAGGTGGTGGTGGAGGAGGAGGTGGCGGCGGCAGCCGCGGCGGCCAAGCGCTGCTTTTTGACCCCGCAGCAACCCGCCGCCATGTTAGCGTCTGGTTCTGCAAGGCAGCGTCTCTTGCCCATGGTTCTCCAGGTCCTGTGCACACACACACACAGCGCCACACACACACAGACACACACACACACAGCGCCACACACACACGGCCACGTGTGGAGGGAGCGCATGGGGCGGGCTTTTAAAAGTTGATCTTCCCCCCCCCATCGCCTCCGCCGCCACCGCCGCGGCCTCCTCCTCCTCTCTCTGTTTCCCGAACGGATAGAACTTTTAACGGCGAGGTAAAAATACGCGGCGCAATAACTAAAGCCGAGGAGTCTGTGGGTTCGTGTCGTTTCGGCGTGAAGCAAGAGGTTTGGACGATTTATTAATTGTAAAATAGCGCGCTCTACGCTGTTGTTAGTTGGCGGTTTTGAGTGGTGGTGGTGGCGGCGGCGGGGTGGTGGTGATGGATGATGTCGCGGTCGTGGTGCACAGAAGAATTTGTAGTTTATATTACTTGGGTTTTTAGGTAAAGTCACGTAAAAAACTTTCTCCTGATGACGAGCGCTTGATGTTACGATCGAAACGTCGTAGTTTTTGTTGTTTTAGAACCTATTTACGTGACTTTACCAAAAAAGAGCCACAAGAATATGAATTCCTGCAGTCACAAAGGCTTTAAGTCAATATTTAATTTGTAGTTTGCAGCTGTGGTTTAACACGTCGCATTGTTTAAAATGTAAATCCGGCATTGTTGTTTTTATGTAACCTGGAGGTTGTGTTGTTACGTGTGTTTATTTTTGCTTAACGTGTTACAAGCTGCGCCGGGTTGTGTGGCCAAGTGCATCGTGCGTAAAGTTATTTGACTAAATAAAATGTGTAGTGGTCGATCGATATTAAGACCGCGTGATTAAAATAAAGGTTGGAAAAGGTGGCGGGGGGGGCGGATGAAAGTGTGGAAGAGTTAAACATGTGCTGCTATCTTCTTTGGTTCTCTCGGTAAAGTCACGTAGAATGAGAATAAAATAATAAAACATTAAAATTCTCACGACGTTTCGGCCACAACACAAGTGGCCTTCTTCAGATGAAAGGAACAAACCTGTCGGGACGACAATAGCTACAATGAACGCTGCTAAGATTCGCAGCGTCTTTAAGCTGGTTGAGAGAAGTGAGGCACCTTGACAAAGGGGGTTTACGTATTAAACAATAATTTAGCATTGAAAAAGTTGAGTGATTCGCTTGTGACTGGTCACAGAAATAGCTGTGTTAAAGTCAAAGCCTACATACACATCCACAGAGGCACCTCGTACATCGAAAAAAAATGTGCTGCTCTTTATACAAGTGGATAATTGATACGAGTGTTTAATTTAGTGCAGTGTTGCGGGATTAATTTTAGCTTAGCGTATTTTTTGCTAACAACGTAACAACTACGTGTTATAGACTACGTTCAAGTGCTGTTTAAAGTGTTTAACACACAACCCCACACACGTGTGGTGGGGTTGTGGAACATTGAATAATTATCGAAGCCGCGTGTTTTAAGAGTAAGAAACTGTTTACGGCGTAACTAAATTAAATTAATCGGGGAAACGTTATTACACGTTAGTTTTTGCGATGTGACAAAAAGTGGTGGTTTTTGGTATGATACACACAATTGTTAAATAGTTTAACGGTACAGTGCGTGTACTGTAATGCGTCTAAGTGGACTCTTGTTGTAGCCTTCTACATTGTCATTCTTGCACGGAAACGGTACACTTTACTTGACGTTACATAACGAGTACCACTTCACTCTTTAGGTAGCAAATTAAATGTTGATTTATAAACAAATCTGACGTGTTTTGCGACGTGTAGTTTGATGAGCGAAATTAAATCGCGTACCGCTAAAAACAAATAAATTGCACGAACGTCATAAAATAATATTTAAAGTAAAACCACTGCCAACATTACAGTAATTTAAACAGTACGTATATTATATTCTTGGTTCTTTCGGTAAAGTCACGTAGAAGGGAAACAATAAAAATATAAAACATTAAAATTCTCACGACGTTTCGACTGCAACACAAGCAATCATCATCAGGTGTGAAAACCACAACAACAAAATGTGTACGTATATTACTATATTATACTTCACAGTTCGATTGCCACGGTACAAGCACTTATAATGATCTTAACGTGAATAAAAGCGTTGTGGAAACCGAGGAATTGATACTAACAATGTGAAGAATTGACTCAAATTATGCAGCGAAAACCAATCTCACGCCGGCGTTCACCAACAGCACTGCGTCTGTAATGAAATGTATATCAATGTGAAACAAATAATAGATGATTTAAGTAAAGAACGTAATTTTATCGTATTTTTATTATAATGCTGCCACGTGATTGGCCAACGTCTCGGCTTGCCCGCTCGCTGCGTTGTAAACACCTGACACGAGGTGGGGTTCACAAACGCCCTGGGGGCACACTCGCGACGGGACACGAGAACAACGCGCCGCGTTAAAAGTGCCCCGAGGGCGATTGGTCTTCGTAAATCGTTAATGGAGGAGGGGAGGGGGCCCCGGACGAGAACAGCTGACGAGCCACGCCGACCCCCTTCACGACACTCAACATCAGCCGTGGTCAATCCACTGCTGGATGGGAGGCCTCAGGTTTTCGTGAATGTCTTTTGAGGCCTTCAGCAGTGGGCTGACAAAGGGGTGAGGGGGGAGGTAGATTGTGTAACAATCATCAGCCGTGGTCAATCCACCGCTGTATAGAGTCCTTTAGTCTGATGGTTTGCAGTGAATTAGCCTTTTGTGGCCTTCGTCCAGCGGTGGATTGACCAAGGCGTTACAGTCCGTCGTACTTAATAGCATATCGGAAGAAAAACCAAAAATGTTTCCTGGCTGGATTCCTGCCTGGCGCGCGGCCAAAAGTGCGCGTGCGTGGTCGTGACGTCACCGCGCACGGCTTGCGCGATGACGTCACCGCCGTCACCGCTGGGCTCGTGCGTGATGACGTCACGCCGGCACAAACGCCGACCGTACTATACTGTAGTACAGTATAACACTTGTACAGTATACTGTGGTACAGTGTTGTACAGTAGCATACTGTAGGACAGTATTATATCGTGGTACAGTGGTATACTGTAGTGCAAGTATTGTACTGCACTGTAATAAAACAAACTTGCTGGCTGTAAGGACGGACAGGTCCAAATGAATAAGAATCATCGTCAGCCATAGGTCACTCCACTGCTATAATGTTTTACTAATTGTATCGTGACCCACGTGAGGGCTAGGGAGTTCTCTGTTTCCCAGAAGCGACCTGGCAGTCACAAATGAAGGCTTAACCAAGTGGGGTCTCATCGCGTGGTAATGTCGAGTAGCAGCCAAAATAATTATTCTTAGCTCTTTCGGTAAAGTCACGTTGAAGGGAAACAATAAAATAATAAAATATATAAAACAATAAAAACATTCTCACGACGTTTCGACCATAACACAAACGGTCGTCATCATTGGCACACCGACACACCTGATGACGAACGTTTGTGTTATGGTCGAAACGTGAGAATTTTTTTTATTGTTTTATATATATTTTATCATTTTATTTTTTCCCTTCAACGTGACTTTACCGAAAGAGCTAAGAATATGAATTACTGCAGTCACGAAAGCTTTAAATCAAAAGCCAAAATAAATTATATGCTAATTCCTTTGTCAATGCGCTTTGTTTCTTCTCACACAGCTTAAAGGTCGCGATCTGAGCGTGGATTTTTTTTCACTCCAGCGCTGTCCTCCAGACAGTCTCGTCCCCTTCACCTGATGAAGGCCGCTTGTGTTGTGGCCGAAACGTCGTGACTTTTTGTTATTTTATTTTTTTTACCTACGTGACTTTACCCAATAGAACCAAAGAGTATGGATCCTAGCGGTCACGAAAGCTTTAAATCTAGAAAAGAAGCCAAAATACTCTCCACATCCCCGCACGGTGTTGTCGGTGCTGTGCCGCACTGAGACCGACCAAGGCGGTCAGGCATTGCACCCGCCACTGATGTGAGCCGTGGCCGCGGTGTCTCACCTCGGGTGAACTCCTGTGGCGATTCGAGGGTCGTTATCGATCTCTATCGATCTCGCGATTGTATCTGCCCGGTCGCTTTGCGAACGGGCGATACAAATTCGAATCGATATTGAAGCGATGCTGAAGCTCGATCTTGATTTAAAGGTTTCGTGACTGCAGGAATTCATAGTCTTTCGTTATAGTCACGTCGATGGCAGAGTAATCGATCACCTCAATGTAACGTGACGGCGTGACCCCCTTGCAGCCACTAGAGGTCGCTGTAATCACCAAAGGAAGCTGATTTTCCGAACAAATGTTGGTCGATTAAGCTACATGGGGGCAATCGAAGCAACGCAACAATGAATAAATCCATAGTGTGATATAGTTTTGAGTTCAACTAGAACCCATATCCGACGGAGAGGGTCCTTGCCTATAACGTCTGTCTTCAGCACGACTGCTGTTGAGACACTTAATGTTGAAACCGGTGCAGAGTTTTGCCTGTGTTGAACCAATCAAACTTGCTGACATTATTCACTCCGGGAATGCCGTGCGGCTGATGTTATGTGTAAAAACATATTTTTTATCGTGCAAGTGGCGGGACATGTTTGTGAATGAGATGTATTGTCTGCTTATGTTTGTTACTGCCGTGTAAACAATCATGAGCAATCCACTTCCGGATGAAGGCCTCTCCAATTGAGATCCTCTCATGCAATAACTATTAACACTACATTGATTACACAGCAATGGAGAACGACTCGTTGATTAAATTTCCTCAATGAATCCACAAAATAATGATGTTTTTTTTATCCACACCTGTGTATTTGGTCTTATGTAGCATAAGCCGACTGAGAGTGAAATGCTAAAGTGAGCTTTGATACACTGGTGCACATCTCCTGTTTCCAGCCCTGAGCCAGTGGTGGAAATTCCACATTCCGATGGCAGCGTCGACTGACTTCATGGGACAACCAACGTTGACGTCCCCGTGAAGTGGTGTTCATTTGTTTGACCCCCAAACGGATGATGGGGCCGAGTCAACACCAAACCAAGATTTGAGTTCGTCACCTTTCGATTTGTGAGACCGCTGACTCCACATTGGTAGTGTACGTACATTCCGGTTATCTATAATTAAGTGAAGGTTATACAGACTAAAGCTATTTTTCCAACAACCTGAACCAATGCAAATCAAAGCAAATGTAAATCACTGCAAGTAAAATCTGATATAATTTTACTTATGCGCGTTTACCCAGGAAAGCCTCAATACTTTTTTAGGAGGGTGTTGCTATATTGGGATGTTTGGCCAATTCCATTCACGAGTGTTTAGTTTCATGTGGAAGTAAACCAGAGAACCCAGGGGAAAAAAAACATACAAGGGGATAATATTAAAAAGCTCCACACAGATAGATTCAATGATCTATTGCGGTACTGCCATCTCCTGGCCACCTCACGGCCCAAGTCAACAACAGCTGGTATTACTCTCTTCTCTAACCCGCCCTACTGGATATCCGTGAAAAAGAGCTTCATAGGTCATTGGATTATTTCAGGATAAATAAAGATGATGATTTTCAGGCAGCCACACAACCAAGCACGGACCATGCTCAACCCTCCTTAGCTTCCAATGGTCTCTGTCACGGTGATTGTGTCACAAGCAAAACCAATAAACTACACAAGTGCACAGATTCACAGCATGGCTCCATCACAATCAAAAACATGAACAACTTCAAACATATTCGACCGATAGATGCGAGACAATTTAAACCACATGTAAACATGAATTTAAGAAATTATCTCCCGTGCAATTTATTTGTATTAAACAATCATGTGCATGGCAATAAGGAGGCATTAACAAGTTTTAAAAGTGAAACCCCAAAAACATTCGACAACCGTTACTCAAACTCCGAGACTACGTGGTTTTTTTTCTCAATTCAAGCTATCCGCCACTTTGGACTGGAACCCAAATTCTCGAGGCCAATGTCGCTTCAAGGGCTGTCTTGAATTCCCTGCGTCAACATTCAGGCTGAGCAACATACTTCGCCAAAACACATTGCAATCAAAAATGTCGTTGGCGGCAGGAACGTCGAGTTTTGCATTTGATTAAAAATGTACTTGTAAAGCAATTGCAGTCCTGACCTTTTATTCGGGTGTAATTTCCGAGAACGTAATTTTGGGAAGCATTTCTGGGAGAGACCTGCCAAACTCACGCGATCACTCAAGACAACCCACGCATACAAAGCAATGGCACTCAAACGGCTCCACACAGAATCAAGAATCAGTTACTGTACTGCCATCCTCTGGCCACCTCACACCTTCTAGCCAACAACACGAAGTCTACAATGGCTATCACCCCACCGGCCTAACCGCCTTCATCTCAATCCAATTGCTGATGTCTTCATGTCGAACACCGCACACCATATGCCGCAGAACGGCACCACTGCGGGTGGCTGCTGCTCGTGTTATTGCAGACTTGGCCGAGTGGATGACTGTTTTAGGTTTCATTCGCAGCATGCAACCATCAAAGTTGTGCATCAATGGCCACGAATTGTGCATGCCAAATCCGCATGCGCATATTTATATATACACAAAAACACCAACACAGTGCATGAGTGCCGGGTCTAAAATAGCTTTGGGTTTAGTAACAGGACCTAACCATGAATTCCTGCTTAATTTATAGACGGACAGCTGTGGTCGCCTGGCAGTCCTGAAAGATGATTGCCGGTGTCTTGTCCGGCGTTACCTTAAGTTTCTGATCTCGAGTCTGAACTAAAGTGGCTATCCCACCCCGATGCTGGAACTGTGTTTCCGTGTTGGCAGTCAACTCGAGTTGCCGGCCGTTTTGCTTTGGAGACTGAATTCTCCGGGCCCAATTTCGCTTCATGGGTCGCCCAGAATTCCCTTTGTCAGACTTTGGTCTGAGCGTAAATACAATGATAAGCATGATTCGCAATTAGATTTTTGGGTCAGGTCATGTGATGATCTTGATGTTTTGGCCGCTTCTGTTTGGGAGGAAATCGGAGTGCCCCCAAGAAAGCCTATCTCGCATACGAGGGGAAAAAACCGCTTGAGGTCCACGCCAATGGGATCATGAACCCATTTGTTTTGCTGCCATCTCAAGGCCTCCTCGAGTTCCAGGGGGTATCGGGAAATTCACGAATCTCTGTCTGATCCATCAACCCTTGCCTCAAAATTTCTACATCACCCACACCTGATCATTACTAATATTTACCATTACCACCATCATCAGCATCATCAGCACCGTAGCACTACCACAATCTGTGCTACCGTCATTACAACCTTTGCAACAGCAATCCCACAACATTATCAGCAGCATCACCACCATCATCATCATGGCTTTCATGAACCCAATATTTATAATACCACTTGATTTCACCACCACCTGTACGATAGCAATAACCATTCGCACATCACTATCATCATAAGCAGCAGTATTGGCATGCCCATCGTTATCAGCAACAGCAGCAGTACCATCACCACGATCATCGCCATAACCATCGCCGCTCCGGGCACTGCCCACCCGCCCCGCTTGTGCAAGCTGCATCGGCATTTCCCCCATGTTATCTGGAAACCGCCGCAGCAAAAAGATTAACAACGTTGCACCACAGAGTGAGCGGGTGAGATGACAATCCGCTCTCGCTGCAAAATAGCAGCCGATGTGTCGTGTTGCATGGGAATGGGCAGTGACCAGGAGCGCAGCCGGACCTCGCCAGCACCGCAAATGGGTATTGCTAAAGGAATACCTGTTTTAGATATGGCTAAGAGACATTCACATCATGTTCATAATTGTTTACATGCGTGTTTGAAGTGTGTGTGTGTGGCACGTGGTGTTGCGGTTAACGCACTGCACTACCAGTCCAGTGACCCGAGTTCGATTCCCTCTCATGGTTAACACCTGTGACGATTACCTGAACTGGTCCTGGGCCTCTCCTAGGTCGACTCAACCTCAAATGAGTACCTACTGTGATGGCTAAACATTGCCACTAGGGAGACAAAGGCGGCCAGGTGTGGTGTTGGTCACACACCCCCTCGTGTGCTGGTCGGTCTTCAACGGTGCTCGCTAATAGCACATGGCCCAACAGTCTGCTAAGTCTATAGAGGACATCTTTGATCTTTGTATGAATCTGTCCTTGGCCTCCCTTTGGTCGACTCAGCCCGAAACGCGTACAAGGTAACGGTGTGGTTTGTAACCATCAGCTGTGGGGCATGGCGCTGGCCACATCACCTCTTCAGATCCCATAGTGGCCTTGATAGGTGCTCGCTAACAACACTTCCCCCCCCCCCCCCGTTCATTCTACAATTCGGCTAAATGTGGGATCTTCATGATGCATGCGTGTTTGTGTTGGGCACAGTGGTGCAAGGATTAGTGAATACAGCGACCCG